TGTTGAGATTTTTGCTTTTGTCATAAAAAATTCAAAGCATTTCATAAAATGCATTATAAATCATAATTTGTATAATTAATGATTCTTTAATTAAATTATTCTTCGGTTTTTAGTGGCATATAAATTGCCATGCTCAACATTCAGTAGTAGATCTTTATTCATATATGGAAATTATATCATATATTGCTCCCGTCATGTCTTATTAAATCTGAAAATTTATAAATAATTAAAATATTCATTGATAAAGATCAATGGTTTAAACTATGATCCATATACCGAATAAAATAGACATATTAACAAATCGGTGATAAATATATTACTCAGCTTGATCAGATATTGTACACTAAAATATACCGTAATAGTAAAATATTGTACAATTGAAAAATAAGGTATAGCTATATAACTACTGTATATTTAGCTGATAAATCTATAACAAATACGGTAAGTAGTCGATTTAATAAATATTTTTAGTACAGTCACTCAAAAAATTCAATTTTTCAATTTAATATTCAAACAATGTCAAAGTTTGGATTTAATGTACACCGGTAGTTATATATATTATTAGATAAAATTATTCTACAATAAAACATTTGAGTTACAAATTAAAAAATAATTAAATATAAAAGTTATTCGATAAAAGCATTTAAATGTTAAAAATAATAATTATATCCTGCAAATCTCTTTGAGATCACAATTGGATGTCATTTGTTGAAATGATTCAATGAATTTGTCGACAGAGCACAGGTACGAATCGCAACCCTTTATTATGACTGGCTTTTCCTGAACCAGAGTCAATAATTTGTATTTTCCATACTTTTTGTCATCACTTTTACTATCTTTACATTTGTAAAGAATGGCCGCAAAATTGGCAGAAAACGGACAAATTAGTGATGACTTCCACTTTCGGTTGTCACCCAAACAAACGGATTCATCAGATTTGATGAATGCTAGTGTCTTACTGTCCATTTCATTACTTAAGTGATCAAAAAGGCCTAAACCGGAGTACAATCGCTTCATAACACCCGCGTGAGTGAACTGAAGATGAGTTTTTAATTCTTTTGGTTTATCAACCGATTGCTTCACTTTAGCAAAAAGGTCTCCAATTAGAGGACACGTCTGTTTACCATTGATATCACGACCTGTTTTGTAATACAATAAATGCAAATTAAGCAAATGGTAGACAAAATATAAACATAAATCATAACTACAATTCATTCATACCATAGGCGTCTTCGTAATAATCTTCGATGTCATCCAAGTATTCAAGAATACGAATCTCTTCGTCGCCGAGTACTGAACACCAGCCGCTGTTTTGTCCAAAGAGGGCGAATTCGAAATAACAGGCCCTCACTATATGTCGGAGCTGTTTGGCGTCCAATTCATTGTCAACTCCGAACCCCAGCCTTTTGTTAACCCTTTTGATGAGACTCTGCATTGAACTGCTTATCCGTAACTCCTTCACGAGTTTTGGTTTCTCTAGTCTTACGCCCTGTTCTAACAATAAGTTTTTGCAAGTGTTGTGAAAATACAAAATATCTTTTTCTCGTTTCGGGATTTCACTCGATTTCTCTACAAAATACATCAATAAATCCATTAAATTGTTAATACCGTAAAACTAAAACAATCGATACCTTCGCTCTCATCACTAGAAGATTCATCGCTTTCAATACCACTGTCTTCTGCCCCAGACTTCTGTTTAATTACTGTTTCTTTGATTCCTTGTAGGAAAGCGTCGGCCGTCTGTTCAGTCCTTATTTTAGGGGTCACTCCGATCTCTATCTTGGCTTTTGTTGGATCCAGAAGTGAAGGATATCTTTGTTTAAAGTTTTTGGCTATAATTGAAACAAAAGGCAAACGAATTAATAATTTAGACGTAAGTATCCGTACAATAG